CGGAAAAGTATATGTGAAGGAAGTGAATAATAGATACGAGTCTTGGAATAAAGAATAATTGCGACTTTATTCGGTGCTTTCGTTTGAACTATTATAAACCGATTCAAATGATTTAATCTTTTAAAAACTAAATGTTTATAAGTCTGTAATAATATCTGGAGGTGATGCATTCTATTTGTAGCTGTCTAATTCCGGGTTGATTTTTCGGCTAGTAACTTAGAGTAATTAAGTTTTCTGACTTGTAACTCAAAAGAAAATTTACGTTAGAAAAATACCATAGTATGATATTAAGTTGTATCCTTTTACAGAAGATACATTTACTCCAAAGCGAAATAATAACGTAGCTGTAATTTTTCTACGATCACTATCCAAAGTAGGCTTTTGCGCTTCGAAATCCAACCCGAGATCCAACCGCAAAGTTGACGTTTTCCGCGAACTGACATTAAGTGACAGCTTTGTTACTCATCTAATTTATATTAGCTATACTATAATAATATTTATTTTTAATAAATGATTTTTATGTTATTTGTAGGTAGTTACATGTTTTTTTTTTGTTATATTATCGAAGTGAACATGGATAGGCAACATATTATACACTACTTAGGGGCCGTTCAAGTATTACGTAAGAACTATGGGGTCTTTGTTTTGCTTATTTTGGATGACATGGGGGTTAGGGGAGTCCAGATGATGATTACGTCATCGGTAGTTATTTACTTTTTACACGAATTGCAACCCTCACATTGTCTATGATTGAAAACGAAACGCATTTTCGGGGATTCCCGCAAATAATGCATATTATGTTTAGGCACTCGCTTTAGAACCGAGTAGGGGAATTACCGCGCGCTATTCACTTGTCTAAATTTCCTCTGTCAGTGTATTGTTTCTTTTGGATACTATAGCGAGTAGACGTATTGCAAGCATAGCACAGCAAGTTAACATTTGTATTACCGTTGATACCATTAGCCAAAGTTTAATGTTTTTTTTTTCCTGGGCTCGTCTGACTATGTGTCTCCGAATAACACTGAAGCCTATTGGCTTATTGTGTTTTACTCCATGTTAGTTCATAGCACCCACTCTATCACCTTTGTACCTTGTACAAGTTTGTACAGATCCTTGGGTGAGTGGGTTCTATACGTTGTTGGATCAACCTGGGGTTGTCCAAAAAGAGCCTGTCTTTTGCGATCTAGAGCTTCGCATTCGCACAGTATGTGTTTGGCCGTTTCTGGTTTCTTGTGACATAGTCGGCACATGAGTTCCCCATTGTACATGCCAATTTTGTTCAAGTGTCCCTTTACTGGGGCGTGCCCAGTCATGAACCCTGTTATCACTTTCAACTGGTTCCTATTCATTAAGAGTAGTTCTCCAGTTCTTTTGGGACATGGTCTGCCTATGAAAGCTTTTCCATGTGCCTGTTTTGGGGTGCTTCCCCAATAGTTGATATGTTGTTCCCGAATCCAGTCATTTATAAAACCCCGGACTGTGCTTTTTGGTACTCCTGGTTTTGTGTCTGGTTCCGGTGTTTCTTCTTGCCCTCTTTTTGCAAGTTCGTCAGCCTTTTCGTTGCCTTCGATCCCTTTGTGACCTGGCACCCAAAATAGTTTTACTCTATTTCGGTCTGCCAGTGTTCTTAGTTCTTCGATGCATTCCCATACCAGCCTCGACGTAACTTTCTGACTCGATATGACCTTAAGTGCCGCTTAGCTGTCTGACATTATTTGAATATGCTGATTTTCGACAGCTCTTTCATTGTTCGTTTTTACACTGCCAAATTGCGTATACCTCGGCCTGAAATACCGAGGAATGCATTCCTATAGCATAGCTATGGTTAGTATCAGGGTTTTTGGAGAATACTCCTGCCCCAGTGCCTTCCGCAGTCTTAGACCCGTCTGTATACCAGGTTTATTCCTGTCGTTGGGCATTGGGCTCCCTTATGGTGATCTCCGCTCTTTCCTGTATTAAAACCTCAAAAGGAGTATTAAAAGAGTACCTCTTGGTTATGTGGTCTGATCTCATGTCTAGCACGTCTCCTGTCACTAACCTTGAGATACTCATGTGACCTGGTCTAATGTTAAGATTTTCCAGTGTATTCCCTAATCTGTAAGCACCTAATGTTGCCTCCCCTTGTATCACATAGTGAATACATATTAGTGCTATTAGTGCTTCCATTGCAGCAGTGGGAGTTGTTTTCATTGCCCCCGTTATTCCGAGGCAGGCAAGTCTTTGTACCTTGCTTAGCCTCGTTATTGCTTTCCTTTGCTGTGTCTTTGGCCATAGGGCTTTAAATAATCTTTAAATGCAGTATTTTATTACATACTTTGTATTTATGTAGCTTAATAAGAGAATCTTTAACAGAACCCATAGAAAGTTTTTATTTTTAGGCAACGACTACCTGTAAACCTGCAGAAAAAACACAAATTATACAGCCAGCTTCAAATATTAAAAAACAGGAAGAAGATAAAATAAAATCACAACAGCAATGCGAAAATAATGATAATGCAGATAAACAGAGAGCAAAACCTTCTCAGGAAGCTATGAAAAATAAGATTGCTCTACTCGAAAAAAATCTGAGTGCTTTGTATTCTGCCAAAGATTCTATGCCAAGCCGTGCTGAATTTGATAAACAGATTGTTTAAGTTGCGCGAGGAAATAAAAACAGCAAAACAGGAAGATTCAAAACCCAGTTGCTCAGAAGAAACACAGGGATGGTATGAAAAGAAAGTTAGAAGATATTTGTCATTAAAATCCAGAAATAAAAAAGACTATCTCTGAGGGATTCAGTGGGACGTTCTAATCTTGAAAGCAATCAACCATCACTATTGAAAACAATTCCGGATATTGCTTTATTTGGGAGTGCAGCAGATGATAGAAGACGAACGGAATCTATTCTCAGCGTAAAAACTCTTGATGAACTCACACAAGAATTACGTAAAATAGGATTTGACATTAGTCGCAGTGGGACATATCTTCGTTTGATTCCCAGAAAACCTAATTCTGCAGAGGGACGAAGACATGTATCGACAGTCCCTGTTAAGCTCATTCGGGCTCAAACTGATCACCACAAGAGCCACTTAGATAGCAAGTTCGCTGAAACATCAATTCATTATTTAGAGAACATAGCATCCATACTTGGACAAGATCAAGTATTTTTCATATCTCAAGATGATAAAGCTCGAGTCCCTATTGGCGTAACTGTGGCAAAACAGCAAGCACCTCTTCTAATGCACATGGAATATAGAATCAAATTGCCTGATCACGATTAAGTAATCATTGAGCGTCATAAATTAATACCATCTGTTTATGCTGGTATCAAAATCACTTCTAGTAGCTAGGACAACCGCAAGCCGTTGGATATTCTGGACCAACATACATCGCTATTTGAAGTGGAAAGCATAGTTCTACTACTGCTAATGCTCATGCTCAGGATTTCGAGGCGCTTCTCGAACTTGAATAGTTTTGTCCATTAGCTAAAACTGACCATGGACTAGTAAAACCAGTGGTAATCATGACGGTTGATGGAGGACCAGATGAAAATCCGCGTTATCAAAAAGTCATAGGGTTTGCTATACAACACTTTAAGCGACATAATCTCGATGCATTGTTTTTAGCTACCAATGCTCCTGAAAGAAGTGCGTATAACAGAGTAGAGCGCAGAATGGCTCCTTTTAGTCGGGAACTGGCTGGTTTAATATTGCCTCATGACCATTCTCGGTCTCATTTGGATGAACGTGGCGTTACAATTGATGAACATTTAGAAATATCCAATTTCGAATTTGCAGGAAATGTATAAGCTGAAGTATGGAGTTCAATGGAAATTGATGGCTATATTATTACTGCAAAATATGTTGGGGCAGGTGAATAAGATCTTCCTAATTTTCCAGACATTAAATGGTATTTAGAACTTGTGCGTAAAAGCCAATACTTGCTTCAAATTGTAAAATGTAGAAATACAGATTGCTGTCATCCAAGAAGTCATCCACCACCTGTAAAAGTAACACAAACGATTGATGACTTGGTTTTGGATGAAGGAGGGCAATTTTTTGATCTTCCAGTTAATTTAGCTCTACGCTTAAGTGCTTCACTCAAAGATTTCCTGCAAATGCCCTACGGTTATTTTTATCCGACAATATAAAATTGAGGCTATCAAGTCGAACATGCAAAACGTGTAGTCTTTATCATGCTTCCGTCAAGTTACTAAATTGTCACATCGAGAAAATCCATAAAAAAGTAAACACGCACACTGATAGGAAAGTTAGACCTGTAAGAGTCGATGCTCGTCGTGTTAATGGACTGATGTGCATTATTCAAAATTTAGAACACCATGATGTTGAATGGCTCGATGAGAACGACGTAGACATTCCAAACTCGGATGAAAGTGAGCAGACTCACAACACTGAGCAGCAATCCAAGCAATTCAATGTCATCGAAAACTTAGAATCATGGATTAGGGTTTCATGGACTGAAGACTATTAATTTGAATTTAATGTGTACCAAAAATTTAAAATAAGTTTGTTATGTTTGTAAGATTATAACATTTTTGTCCCTTACTCTATGTTGAATACTCTATCAGTAAAATCTAATCTCTATCCTAAATCTATTTTCTTATTTTTAAAATTATAATTATAACATTATAATATAAAAAAAAATACATTTATAATTGAAAAATGTTTACGTAAGCATGAGGGAGGGGGTAAGAGCTTTGCTTACTTTTGCTGACAAGGGGGATGGGGGGGGTTAATAATTGTAATAAATTTGCTTACGTAATATTTGAACGGCCCCTTACTACAAATTTATAGTTTATATATCTATTTCTTAAACAATTATGATGGTAAAAAAATATTGTGTCCATTTTGGGCGAAAAGTTCGTTGCCGCTTTCGACTCAAGCCTCAAGCGGCAAAGTATCACTTTTCGCTCTTAATACACAAATAGCCATTATAGCCAGTACAACTTTTTTTTTGATACTATTATTGTTAAGTAATTATTATTATTATTATTGTTTTAGATATTCCCCAATGCTGGATAGACCTGCTGCAGTGGCAGTGGAAAGTGTATATGACATTAGTGGCACTAGCATTATTCGTTATACCCGCTCTAATCATTAGTGCATGTTACATGATCATAGTGTGGACGATATGGACGAAGAGTAAATTACTGATACCAATGGGACATATACCTATTCGGCTAAGTGAGTACTTACTTTTTTGTAGATTTTAAATAATAACTATTTTTATTATAAAATACTTCTAAACTACTCGAACGAACAGTGGATTCTAATAGTGCAATCTTATATAAAATATGGTGAGCGTTTAGCCAAAATAGTCAAAGAGCGTGCAATTTGTGGTCGACAAAATGTACCAATATTTAAGAGGTTAATCGACGGTTTCGATCGAATTGGTTCGGTTGCAAACGAGAAATCATCAGATCGTCCGAAAAAATTTGATGTATCATTGTATATATTGACGGAAAATATCGATAGTCTAATATTCTAATACCCCGTATTTGCAAAAAATTCAAATTTCTCTGTTTTGCGCTATTCGGTTGTACATTTACCCTGTTATTAGTTAAAATACACCGTATTGGCTTCAGACAATATTTACATGAGAAATTTGACTTCTCTAATAACCCGTATTGCAATCATAGCACTATTAAACTAAAAAATCTGATGTGTCCAACACATGACTTTCTCATCTAGTTAACCTATTGCAGCATCTCTAAAAATGTTTAGAGGATAAACTAAATATATACATTTTCCACATACATCTACCTCGAAACATTTTTCTATAGATATTCATTGAAAACGAAATTACTGAAAAATTTAAATTTAGCACTTTTCCTCCAATTTTTCCATTACGGTCCATTTTAGAAAAGTCATTTAAAAACAAAAATTATGGAGATCGATATCGCAAACAACTTTTAGTTTAACAATTTTCTTAAAAATCAGAATTTTGCACATTTTGTCAAATTTCTCGAATACGGACCATTTCAGGAAAATTTGACATAGAACAAAAATTATAGATAATAATATTGTAAGTAACTTTTATTTAAAGAATTTTCTTCCCCAAACGTAAATAACGAATATATTCCATAAAATATAAAACTGACCACCAATAAAGTACCCCCCTAAATGTTCCGACTCTGTCCAAAATCTAATCAGTTCACCTCAGGTCGAAATAAAACTTGAGTTTAAAATTTAATGTTTTTTCCTTTATCCGTTTTTGAGTTTTCTTCAAAATTCGAAATTTACACATTTTCTCAAATATCTCGAATACGGTCCATTTTATAGAAATTATGTATAGGATAAAAAAATTATATATTACAAACAACTTTTATTTGAACAATTTTTATAAAAAATTATTTTTTTTTATATTTTGTCAAATTTCTCGAATACGGACCATTTTAGGAAAATTTTGTATAAGACAAAAATTATAGATAATTATATTAGAAGTAACTTTTATTTGAAGAATTTTCTTCTCCAAACGTAAATAACAGATATATTCCATAAAATATAAAAATGACCACCTATAAAGTACCCCCCCAGATGTTCCGACTCTGCCCAAAATCTAATCAGCTCATTGGACGCTGAAACAAAGCTTAAGTTTAAAATTTGGTGTTTTTCTGTGTATCGGTTCATGAGTTATGCGACCTACAGACACACACACACACACACACACACACACAGACATCATCGCGAAAATATTCAAAACGGATTCAGGGGACCTCAAAACGTAAAAATCCGTCGAAAACTCGAGGTCGAAAAAAATCATGATTCCTATACTTTCCTTATATCTGTATACAGATAGGAAAGTAAAAAAGATTCTCCTGTAAAATGTCAATCCATGCAGTTACAGGGTATTAGAATTAGACCATCGATATGCAAAAATGAATACATGTCTTATAAAAAAAGTATCGTGAAGCGGCAGCAATAGGAAAAAAACTAGAGATAAAATTTGGCTATGGGGGTCTGAGGTATCAGTTCATTTTGGAAAATTAGTCTCTTGCCCAAAATAGTTTGGGAATCCCTGGATTTGAAGATGCGAGCGGATCAATTCATGCATATCATCCATTCTTCTTCGTAACTGGATCACATAATCTTTACCAGCTACATCTTCTTCAGGTCGGCATCCAAATTCGAGGTCGTACGGTAATCTCATCTCACGCCCAAACAGGACATTTGCTGGTGTTCGGCCTGTTGTTTCATTGACAGCGGATCTATAAGCCAAAGAGCGAAAGAAACTGATCCCAATCTCGCTGATGGTTTGAAACCACTTTTGACAGATATTTGCCAATGGTCTTATTTATTCGCTCTATCATTCTACCTGGTTTTCTTCATGCCTATTCTTTCACAAATTCTACGAAAGAGTTGGCTTTCAAAATTTCTACCTTGATCACTGTGGATCTCCAAGGGCATTCTATAGCAACATATAAACTTTTTTATTAACACATGTACAACATTTGCGGCCTCTTGATTTGGAATAGCTTAGATTTTCACCTACTTTGTAAAATAATCTATAATCACCAAAACGTATTTATTACCATCCTCGGTCACGGGTAAAGGTCCAGCAATATCTAAGGAGATCCTCTCAAATGGGCTACCAACGTTGTATTGCTTCATGGAAGCCTTCCTTTTTCGTTGAGGTCCATTACTCACAAGCACAGCTGGTATATTTCTTACACCAGTCCTTATCGGAACTGTTCATTCTACAAAACCTTTTCACGAACTCTCTGAAGGGTTTTCTTGACACAGATATGTCCTTCTGATGAACTGTCGTGTAGCTGACGAAGTACTTCGGCTACTCTAGTCTTCTGAATGACCAACTGTCTTCTGTTTTCGAAACCATCATCATTCTCTAGTACTCGCTTTAATAAGCCTTTTTTAGAATAAAAGAGTCCCACTGCGTCCAATATGATTTAACTACTAGAGAGTTTCGATACTTCTTGCCAAGTAGGGCGATGATTTTCCTCATTCCATTGTCTTATCTTCTTTAAAACGGGATCGTTCTCTTTTTCTTCCCCAAATTTGACAGGGGCTCACTCATCGCTGACAACCGACGTTCTTCGTATTGTAACTTCTTTAGCAGATGTGGCCAATCCCTTTCTAATCAGAGTTCTTTGCGCTTCAAAGGTTCCGCCACAACAGGAGTTGCTTTCTCTACAGTTCCTTGCAACCACGTTACTCTTATGGTTTCACTTCTTCCAGGCAGCACCGTTTCTTCCTGTATAGCCACCGGCACGGTTTTTCGATTCGTAGTATTCTTTGGGAGTTTGCACGAACTGCTAACATTTCCCATTTCACCGCAATTCTCAATAAGGCTTTCTATCATGTGAAATAATTGGTCCAATTTATTTCCCGTTCTTCTTCTTTTACAATCCTTCACTGTATTTACCAGAAGCTAGCGTCGCCGCATCATATTCAAGAGCAGCAAACAAGACATTGACCAATGTTTTAAAACGGGTTAAACGGAATGTTCTTTGCATTTCATTTTCACGAAGTCCATCTACAAATGCTTGAACAGCCAAACATTCAATCATGTATTCCGGAGCTGATGGGTAGGCAAATCGCACCATCTTCGCAATATCTAATTCGAATTCTTGAAGGCTCTCGTCATGTTTCTGTTTTCGATTCTTCAACTGTAATCGGCACATCTGTGTTCCTGGCCATATCGCATATTTAATCTATTTTTGAACTGTTCAAAATAATCTGTCTTTTTCACAGGTATTGTCTGAAGAACATCTAAAGCGTCTCTCCGAAGGGCGATGGTCAAATTTACTGCCTTCTTTCGTTCAGGCCATCCGTTTGCTTTGGCAGCTGTTTCAAACTGTTTGAGGTATGACATATTTCCGTCGAAAGTTGGGGCTTTAACACGAGCAGAGTTTATAGGTAGCTCTTTCCAATTTCAACTTTGACTCCACCTCTAAATACTTTATTTCACTGTCCTTGGCCGGGCCTGTATGTTCCAGTTCTTCTATCTTTTTTTTCATCTGTTTTATTTTCTCCTCAACGAAAGACATTTTTTCTCCTCAACGGAAGTCATCTTATCTTCCATATTAGCAGAAATTTAATTTTTCAGAGACATTTTGTTTTCCTAGTTGAAAGAAATTTCGTATTTTAAATAATATATGTCAAAAGACACATTTAATTTCTAAGGATGTAATGTCAGAAGAAACTTTAGTTTCTAATAAAAAAATGTTAGAAGAAATATCGGTTTTCATAGAGGTCATATCAGAAGACATTTCGGTTTTTAAGAAAGTGATCTTACTTTCCACGGAATAAAGTGAAGAAATTATTGCAGAAGATACATCATTCGAAAATAGATACCTTTCCGGATCCAAACCCACTTCCATAAGACGTTCTGCCAGCTCTGCTTTCTTCCCTGTCGTCTCTAGATCACGATCTTCTAATTCTCGACGCAGTTCATACGTCATTAATGTATTACAAATTAAAAATTTCAGTTAAAACGTTCTCAACATATTAACTAAAATTCAATTTTTAACTATTTATTACAAAATATCACATTAGGTAGACTCGAACTGATTAAAGATCTTGGAGTCTATTTTGGTAGTAAATTGAGTTTTTCTTTACACATTAAAAAGACGACCCCTTTCAGCTCTTGGGTTTTATTGCACGAAATATGAGATCTTTCAGTAATTTTTCTACGATAAATATGATTTATTCTTCACATAGGTTAATTTGTATTAATTAACGTTTAATTACCTTTTTTAATTAATTATATTTAATTTTGACTAGCTCTTAGATATATTTATACCAAACAATTTACTAACCTTAATCGTCTTAATCCAATCAGAAAATTAAATGAGCATATGAGACTATAATTTTCTCAGTCGTAAATTCAGGCTTTTCTAATAGATAATATTGGGAAAAATTTTTAAGGATATATGGGCACCAATAACTCTCTTTTTTATTTTTTAAAAGCTAGTTAAGAATTATGAGTTAAACGAATAACTTGAAGCATTGTATTTAGATCAACTAGTAAAACAATACCAATGCAAATTATCTTGGAGGACAATGGACAGTATCAATAGATGGCAGCAAGCTCCGTGGTGTCCAAGTCATGTCTTTGATAATTTTGTAGTCTTCGAAACGAACGTAATTTCTCTATTTACTAATAGATGGGCCCATAGTCGATTCAGAATATTTGTTTTAAAAATGGAATATACAAGTTTAAT